CCTTACGAGGCAGAAATGTAAAGCGCATTGAGACAATGTAATGTTGTGATAATGCGCTATATAAATAAAATTGAATTGAATTGAATATATATGTTCATCCCTGCAATTAGGGCTGTGCGATATAATGATTACATATCAGATTATGAAACTAAAACATCTATCATTTAATGTTATGCTCTAGTGTGCATTGTCCCCTATAGTTTAATGTTTAAAACACACTTAACTGGACATGTCTGTATCGTTTAGGTTTATACTTATTAATCCGTTAATTCTATATTTTCTACTCTGTCTATTTAGGGATCGCGTTACATTTATGACCTTGCTCCTTTTTATTTGCAGATTTTTGTCCAATTCCTACCATAGCTGATCTGTTGAAAAAAATCCATAAATACGAGATGCAGCCGAGATATATAACGATATTGGGATATGAGATGACTTGTATCGGGATAGGAGATTTTGGTCATATGGCACAGCTCTACCTGCAATATGTTATTGCTGCTGAATACACCAGAATTTTCCTCTGAGATCAATAAAGTTCGCCTTCAAATTAATATGTACTTTTACTGAACAATAACTTACAATCACCATTTCCAAAAAAGTTCGGATATTTTATAAAATGCAATAAAAACGAAACTGTGATATTTTAATTCACGCGAACCTTTATTTAACTGACAAAAGCACAAACAAAAGATTTTCAACAGTTGTACTGACCAACTTAATTGTATTTTGTAAATATAGAATTATATGGCTGCAACACACTCAACAAAAGTTAAAATTAAAATAAGACCGACAAGTGCACCGAATATCCAGTGATACCGGTTTGGAAGACTCCACATTAACCAGCCTAATCGTTAGCATGTGAGGTATCATGATTGGGTGTAAAAGTAGCATCCATCAAAGGCTCAGTCTTTGCAAGCAAGGATGGGTCATGGCTCACCCCTTTGTGCAAAAATTCGTGAGAGAATTGTTAGTCAGGTCAAAAGGAACATTCCTCAACACAAGATTGTGGACTTTTTCGGTTTTGCAATATCTACAGTACATAATATTGTGAAAAGATTCAGAGAATGCAGAGACGTTTCAGTGCGCAAAAAAGGGCAAGGTCGGTTGAATGTGTTTATCTTCGAGTCCTCAGGTTTGTGAGTACTTCAGAAAATGACTGTCACTTAATGCAGTCCGTCACTAATGTAAAGCCGTACATTAACCCTATACACAAACGCTGGCGAGTTCTCTGGGCCTGAGCTCATCTCAGATGGACTGAAAGACTGTGTAACCATTTGCTGTGGTCAGATGAGTCCACATTTCAACTTGTTTTTGGTAAGAACTAGCATTGAGTTCCCTATGCCAAAGATGAAACCGACCATCCAGATTGCCATCAGCGAAAGGTGCAAAAGCCAGCATCTGTGATGGTTTGAGAGTGTAGCAGTGCCCACGGCATGGGTGAGTCACATGCATGTGAAGGTACCATTAACCACAAGCCATACATTAGGACTTTAGAGAGAGATACGTTGCCATCAAGGCGACATCTCTTCCCGGGACGTCCATGCTTATTTCAGTAAGCCAATGCCAGACCACATCCTGTACGGGCTACAACAGCGTGGTTTCGTAGACACAGAGTGTGTGTGCTTGACTTGTCTGCTGTCAGTCCAGAACTATCTCCTACTGAAAATGTATGGTGCATCATGAAGAGGAGAATCAGACAACAGCAGTCATGGACTGCTGAGCAGTGAAATCTTACATCATGCAAGAATGGACAAAATTTCCAATAGCAAAATTACTACAATTAGCATCCTCATTTCCAAAACAATTAAAAGGTGTTGTTAAAGGAAAGATGATGGAATACAATGGTAAATATGCCTCTGTCCCAACTATTGAGTGTGTTGCAGCCATCAAATTCTACCTTTGCATATATTTACAAAATACAATTTAGCTGGTCAGTACAACTGTTGAAAATCTTTCCTTTGTACTTTTCCCAGTTAAATAAAGGTTCACGTGAATTGATGAATCACAGATTTGTTTTTAATTGTATTTTAGAAAATATCCCAACTTTTCAGGAAATAGGGTTCGTACATCATTAAATAAATAATAGGTAGAAATCGAAAAAAACGATAGCATCAATATGAATAAATTATAAAATATTTCTATTTTGTTCTAAGAGTATCATCGTTAAAACATCGGTAGAATTAAGAGCTACATGACTTACTTGGCCACTGCTAGGAAGGCCAGTTCCACATTGATTCCAGTCTTGGCACTTGTCTCCATAAAGGGAACTCCATATTCCTGAATGACAACCAAGAATCTGAAATTAACACCCGAGAACACCAAGCACCCATAGTTACTGTTAGCACATCCAACAAGATTTTCATAAGGCCTACCCTGTAATTCGATCACTTTTTATCAGTTTGCACATCTTTAGCTACGCAAAACTGAAAGAATTCCCCTCACCCTGGCAAGTCTTTGTCCTTCCTCCTGCTTGATGACCCTTTCGTGGACCATATCGGACTGTACAAAAAGTACAAAATGCATCATCAAAAAAAGGGGATTTGGCACCCACTTAATTGTATTTCTGAATATTTAAATAACTAAAACTTAGAATTATGTAAATTCTTAATTTTAAAAAGTTGTTTAAAATGGATCTCCCACTGTGATGAATTGGCACTGCGAGAATGTCACCTTGAACCACATAGCTCAAAAGAATAAGATTAAAAAATTAATGGATGCGTGATGGTTAGCCTAAATTATCTAGTCACCACTAGATGGTGTAAATGCTTTTCCTGCAAATGCATCATGAACAAGGAGTTCAATATGTTTATTTTTCATGTGATGAACTATGCTGGGCATGCAACATGTATTTGAAATGTTTTCTGCACAATATTAACAGTAATATTGCATTTGCACTACAAGAAAATATCCTGGTTATGTATTGGCATGGGCGTTAAATATGTATATCAGAAACAGGAACCAGTCAATAAACAATGTTTTTTTTCTGTGGTATTAAGTTTGGAAATACTGAGCAAATAATGTATGATCTGCAACATAGTAGGGGTGGAGTACTTGTGTCTATAAAATGATGTGGTCAACAATATTCGGGCTGAAAGAAACCAGAATTTTATTTCCTCCTGGTGGGTGGATATGGTATTATAGCAGGAAGTCGTCCTTACCTTGTTGCCCAGCAACATGATGACCACATCCTTTTGTGCGTATTCGTGAATTTCTGTTAGCCAAGCCTACATGGAGATGTAAACATGATTACGTAGGACAACCAAAGACGACAAAAGATTTGAGGTCACAACTGATGTCAGTAAAGAATTACAAATATCTGACGAAATGTAACAAGTGTATCTATTTTGGTCCTCCAAGACCTAGTGGGGGAAGCATTTACCCTAATGTTGTCAAAGGAAGACTTGCTGGTGATATCATACAAAAGAAGCAGAGCTAGAAGAATGACAGAGACAAGTGACTGGTATTATTAGAGCATAAAGGGCAAAGAATTCAGATTAAACAAATCCCTCTGACTCAGACAGACGAAACAAAAAAGAGGCACGTCATTCAGCATGTCTGCTCATTCAACACTTGGCCTCTTAGTTTCTCTTCAGGCTGATGGACGCAGTAGAAAGGCAGAGGAATGGGGGAGGGGCTTACCTTGGGCGTCTCTGTAGTAGGCATGGGTAACACTGCGGAACCTCTCCTGTCCTGCCGTGTCCCATATCTGAGGGCCAAGCATAAACTCCGCATCACATCTATTGAAGCCATCATACAGAAAGTGTACATGTGAACATGTTCTGCAACATATACTAAAAAAAAAAAAATTTTTACTCACCTGCAATTTTACCTTCAAATTATCCACCGTAACCACTTTGTTCTGGGGAAATGGGAACATCAGTAACAAAAGAGGTGAAATAATGCTATGTTACATAAAATGGTCTGTAAAGTACAATGAGAATAACTCACTACTGGATTTGGGTTTAGAGGATTCACCGAGAAGAATGTGCATAACAAACAGGTGGCCAATCCATTTGATACACCTCTAATATGAGTTTGCACTTAGTCATTCACATCTTCTCACCATGACCTTCAGATTATCACACAACTGAAAAAAAAATATTTCATATACAGCCCTCCAGTTAACTTCCTTTTAGAAACTCATAACTTTGTGACATCCTGTGTTGCAAGACCTGCGCAAAAGAGTGAAAGACTCATCTGCAGTAATAACGGCTCACACTGAGCTGCATGCTGTCCCATATCAAAACAAATTATAAACAAAATACTTTCAGAAATCCACATATCAAAGCAATCCATTTATTAAAATATACAATTTTAACTTAATGGCAATAGCAACACATTCATTTGCAATATCATCTTTATCAGAATATTTATTGCCATCTGAGGCTGGTGGAAATTTTTGTTGGCACAGTTTGCTACAGACAATTAACAATTATGGACAGAACGACACAATGGCAAGGAGTATACACAAGGTGTCTAATAAACACAGTGCTTTGTGCAAATTTAAGTAGTGCAACGCTGAAATTTAACACAGGTATAATACAGTACTAGATCATTCTCATACTTTCCTTTTATGCTATCATTCATTCATTACCTACTAATTCAAACGGAACCATGTTACAGTGCCATCAGAAAAAATATATATATAGTTAAACACACACTCAAAAATATCTCATTTCACACTTGCTTTTCACACTTTGATTTTGTTTTTCTTTTTTGGCTTAACTACTTCATCAAACACAGCTTTATCTTCTTCTGATTTTTCCAGCAAAACAATGGGAAAACAGACTGGAGAATAAGACCGAGAGAGCTGTTGTGCGGACACCGCCAGTGCACCCCGAAGGCTTGCTTTCTGTGTATTCCACTCTACCATCTGTGTTTTAATGCCAGCATCACACAGGAATATGTCTGTAATACCAGAAAAGCAAATGCAGCCTGTATAGTAAAAATTACAGCTAAATCAAATCTAAAACCTGTATAGCTAACGTCCTTTTAGAAAAGGAAAGATATACACTATAAATAATAACAGCCATAACATCACTACAGCAGTAATTCCATTCACACAATTCGCTCTGATAACACTGTCTTTTTGCGCTATAATGCATACTCCCCAAAAGAGAAAACACCGCTTGGAGAAAATAAGGTTCTGATATTATGTGAATTTTACAGTGCCTCCAGAGGTCATGAGCAGTCTGTAATGGGCACGACCTTTTCAGTTTTTCAGAAGCTATTCCCAACCCGGTTTCACTTAGGGAAGGGAGTCCCTGCCTAGATGAGTCACATTGACCACAGGTGTTTTGAAGAAAGACCTCAAGCAGTGGAGATGACCTGCACTTTCGACCTTCACACAGACAAGAGGGGAAGTGAATCTTGTGACCATGATAACCAGGAAAACAGCTGTGTGTTACACATCAGCCATTGTCCCAGGCACCAAAACATTTTCTCCCTTTATATTATTCCTGCATTCCGTACCATGATTTCCAATAGGAGACGTGAATACCAAAACTGAGATACCTAGGCAACAGTGTTAATTGAAAATGAAATAGACACAGAACAATTATTTTTTTTTAATCTGCCCAATTCAGAACACACTGCAAGCAGTTCACAATCTCCCTCAATTCTACAATAGCTTCAAATCTGCTTTTTTTTTGCATGCATTTGATAGAATTTTTCAAATAACCTGCAGGAACCTTAAACTCCAGATTTCCCTAGTGATTCATGTCAGGTGCATCTCTGGAAACACTGCTGAGACCATCAGAGTTGCCACAGCAACAGGGTACAATGTCTTTTACCAGCACTGCAACAAGGCTTTCCTATCGAAAGTGAACAAGGGCGTAGGAATCCGAGCAAAAGCAAAGCAGAGGCATCACTGCAAGAAATATTTACTTTAATAGTGAGCTCATAGTTTGACATGTTATTGCCCAAAATCAAAGCAATCAGGAATTATTAAATACCACAATGAATGAAACATTGTACTTCAAAAAGCACAGTAGAAATGGTTTTTGAATTACCATTTAGTTGTTTAGGTTCTAATATATGAAATATGTGTACACATATATCCCCTGGAATTGTACACGTTAACATACTCTAAGCTTCCGCTCAAAGTATTTTAAACTTGAACGTAATGCTAATATAGCTTATATTATTATCAAACTGTATGACGACACCTAAAATTCAGATCATTCATTTCTTACTATAAATGGGAGTCAGAGGGGGTATTTCACTGCCATTGCCATACAAATTCATATTGTGTCCTCCTAGTTATGCTAAGAGGTGATGTGGTTAGTGTCACCACTGACAGTGTGGGAGACCTGGATTTGAAACAAAAAGGCTACAGTCATAATCCAAGCACCAGCACAAGGGATTTTATAGAAATATCCATTATTTTAAAACAATTCAGTACATATGTACATAAAATTAATTTTCAAAGATATATACCCACACACACACACCATATATTGCTGAAGAAATAAAGCCCAATGTTCCCACGAGACTTCTAGAAAGGAAGTAGTAAGTGTTGAGAGAAACCTGTAGGTGGGATGATATTTTTGTACAATGTGAAAGTATAACGGCTCGCATGTCGGCGCCTCAGTGAAGAAAATAAAAAAACACCAAGTTATAGTATATTGATGGGTAGAAGCTAATTTGTTTTATTTAAATTAAATGCCTGGGGTCAACTAAAACACAAAGGGACTCAAGTTTCATTTCAGAAGCTAGTTTGTAATAGTACAACACAGGTACCCATCAACTTACATCCTATCGAGTAACGTCCAACCTCATTTACATCCGAGGTCCGTAGTAAATAATACAAACTGCTCGAGAGACGTCTGAAAGCAGGCAGGGTAGGACATTAGCAGGTGTATCACATTTTATTATAAAGCGCTGTGATTTATATTATTATTTGCTGTAGGATGCTGTGCGTGTATTGCAGTACTGTATTGTACTTTTGTAGTACTGAATTGCAATACTATATTGNGTGTATTGTACTTTTGTAGTACTGAATTGCAATACTATATTGCGTGTATTGTACTTTTGCCTCTCCCCTGATATGTATGATATGTAAGATATGTACAAATTGACTTGAGTCTGGAGGTCCAGGTCCCGAATGTGGAAGGAAATTGACAGATGCCTGCAGTTTCTTGTACAGGTAATTTTGGTGATTTTTGGGTAAGGCAACTAAGAACATCTCACACCAAAAGACCCACCAAGTATTATGCATCTTAGAGCCTTTCCTTGCTCAGACCTATGATGCTGCACACACACAAATCTTCTTCCACTGCATGATAGGCAGCAAGAAGGGTAGATAGTGGCATGATGGTGTAAAAACCGAGGACACAGTGTACTCCTTCCAGCTAACTGCGACTCGCAGTTTGTCGGCACATGACATCCAACACAAGCTGGAAGGCTTACTCTCCGTCTCCAGGCAAACAAAATGGAGGTTTATGTGGTGTGCATCCAAAGTGGCATGGTCAAATGAGGTCCTCCCCTCCCTGCAGGCAGTGCAGAGTGCCTCTGTCTGTAGACCTGCCCTTAAAATTAAACTCTTAGCACAGTGCAAACTCAAACCGTGGTGATAGCCACAGCACTCTGGATGAGCATTTTTCCTTATGAGCTCCTGTGTTGTGCTTAGCTATTTAGATAAAACAGCCACAAGCAAAAGCCCACAACAAACACCAGCAAAAATATACAAGATTAACAGGCAGCAGTCACCCAACATATGTAGCATATCCTTTTAGAGGTGACACTGCCATTTATTAACAGTAAACATTCCCCACTGCTATTTCTTTGAATGTTTACAATAATTAAGGAACAAAAATGACAACTTCCTCCCTAAATGTTTATTTGCTTGTTTGTTCATCTACTCACTCTTCTATAATCTAAAGCTTTGCATTTCACATGAGTAAATTGCACCAGTTAGTTTGTAAGATGCCAGTTCAACATATATGCGAATGTAAATGTTCTCACTCTGAAAGCTGATCAACAACAAAAAGCAAATCAATCTCTGAAACAGAAGAGCCTGGAGTATTGGCTATGTTTATCTGCATTGTTCAGGTATCCTACACTGCTTGGAAATTAGATTTTTATAGGTTTTCTATGAATGACACAGGGTGGTCCAAGAGTGAAATGACCCATATTTAATTCTTTAAAAAACATTTTTCTTTCTACACCACTTAATGTGTAGAATAACAAATAAAAATTTTGACGTGATAAAATGGCAAACGGGACAACCTGTATGTGGCATTGCAGGTACACACGAAAGTGTGAAAGGAAGTCGTGTTACAGTATGTCACTGTTCACTTGTTTTTTTTTTATGGTGAGAAACACAGCTGCGTGAATGTTCGGTAGGTCCATGGACCATGAATACGCTCAGCATCATTCAAGTCAAAATCTCACCCTATAGTCAATTCCCACGGTGGCAATAAAATTGCCGGCAAGAAAGGTACCATCTTTAAACTGGACCAGGAAGCATGTCTTCCCCACAGCGGAGTCTCCCAGCAGCATGACCTGCAGAAGTTTCAGCACAGTCGAGTTAGGACAGGAACTGCTGGCTGTTTTTCAACTTCAGCCCTGAAGAGTCAACAGAGCAGAAGCCATTTAACAGGAAGAGGTTTATCTCCGAGGGATACAAATGAAAGCAACGATTACCAACCTGGCTAGTCAGAGCCCCATCTCAGAGTAACATCTAACCAACCATAATAAACTTCCTCTATGTGCCTTAGTATCAAAACAGTCACCTTTACTCAAACTTCCTGCTGATCTTACAAAACGGGTTTCATTGGATGAATTATCATATCACACTCCTTTGGATAACATTCACAGTCTAATAAAAACCGATTCAAATACATGTAACTGTCAGTCGGCACGCTGATATATTAACTAACAGCATATTACAACTGGCTTTTCTGATGCCTTTTACCAATACTAACATTGATATATTTCCTAGCGTGGATATATGTCCTGCTGTGAAACATTTGCCTTAGGGGCATGCCGTCCTTCGGCAAATATTTTCCAGCCACTTAGGAGGAGATCTGAGCAAACAATTAGCACGAAATTTTCACACAGCAGAATATTAAATACATTTCAGGAGGGACACGTATTAAAATGATCCCTACAAGCAGCGGACGCAGATGAAACTTCTCATCAGCCGTTATGATGCAAATGAACAAATTTAACTTTACGGTTCTCCAAAAATCGCACACTAACACATATGTTTTTTTACCCTGCTACCTCGAAATCACTTTATATTCATCTAACCGTCTTTCTCACGCTCGTTTGCTCAATCCATTATATACATTAGTCGACTATTTAAATGTAAAGAGATTTCCACCTGTTGTAAAGATAAACTGCTACAATATGCACACGCCTTTCACAACTTTGACCGCCGGTAACACTGTACAAATCAATCACGATAATCACCTGTTAAAGGTAGCAATATAAACATCACGAATTTTATCAACATCAATACACACCTTGAATGCAATATCGAAATATTCATTAGTCGAAGGGCACCTTTCCAGAAGCGGGTTTTTCCCGTTTTTAGAATCCTTTCTCAAAACCGATACCCTTTTCGTAGACATCACGGCGAGCTGCAAGATGTCTTGCGTGAACGATTGCTGCAATCTGATAAATCCGGCACCAGGAAATGTGAAATCGTAGGCGACTCGGCACCTCCTGGCTTTAGCTACGATCAGAAACGCATTTTAAATCGATAAAGCCACTAAGTAGCGACCATGCAGGAAGTTAAGCAGAAGCGAACCCCTGCTGAAGCGCCTGGTCGCGATCGACGAGCTCCGGGGGAAGCTGGACGTGGCGAAACGTCATCTTGTTGATATGACTTATATCCTACATTCAAACATTTTGCTATGTGCTTGTAAACTCCTCTGCATGGAGGGATTTATTAAAGAGTGGTTCAAGATTGTGGGAAACGATGTGACCGCAAAGACATCGCGTCCTCGGGAGGACCGAGGGGGCATTAAAGATAAGAAGCTGCTTGCAAGAAATAACCTAAGAGCACTAGATCCTGTCATAGCGACATTTGCTCTGCCGTGTGGCAGACGACGCATCAGATACGGAAGGTGGCGTGCGATGAAAGAGACCAAGCAAGACGATGGCAATGCATCAGCATGCAAACTGCTCAACATGCAGTCGTCTGTTTTGACTTTATCTTGCATATAATCACCATTGTTATCGCACTGTTGTTGCTTTTCACCTTGTTCATAATACAGAAATGAACAAAACCCTTCCGTAAACAGATAATGGTCAAATGTCTGGACATTCCTGTCTTTAATGCACATGTCTTTGTTTTAGCTGCTATTCACTTTATAGTAAAAGGCCTTCAGGCAATTAAGAAATACGCATCAAGTATTGCAACAAACTAGAGAAAGATTCAACATTTCTGTTTTGGACTCTTCAAAATAGCCCCCTTTTGCTTCCATAACACCTTGTAGACTCTTGGCATTCTTTCAACCAGCTTGCAGATGTAGCCACCTGGAACGCTTCTCCAAAAGTCCTGAAGGAGTTTCCACAAGTTCTGGACACAGGTTGGCCACCTTGCTCTTACTCATCGATCCGACGCAGCCCAAACCAGCTCTATAGGGTTTAGGTGGGGGGAATTGTGGAGGCCAGGTAATATTTACTACATAACCTCAAGGTGAGCTTAGGGTCATTATCTTGTTGAAATGGAATTGATTTTCAGTAAGTGTATCCAGACCTACCACTGCTTTAAGTTTTTCTTCTGATATTTTACTGTACGATATATAATAGTATCTGCTTAACTGTTGTCGTTTTCTTCTTTAACTAGGATTAATTACCAGCACCAGAACTGCAAAAACTGACTTGTGAATATAGTACATTCTGTACACCATATTAGCACTTTGTCAAAGTATTACTTGGCTTTTCATGTGGAAGACATGAAGATAGATTGTCTTTGCCTCCCCCTAGTGGTCAGTACCACATCTGTGGCATGGTCTACTATGGTAACGATTCTCAACTCGTGGGTCGCGACCCAAGTTCTGAAAGGCAGAGTTGGAAATGTAAGCATTTTAAAACCAGCCAGCTCCTATGCTGATCCACGATCAGATTTCCCAGCCCCAGTCCTAGAATTAACCTATATAAATGGGTCTTGGGTCTGCAACTGTTTAGCGCAAAACTAGTGAACGCTCAACCAATCCAAGAAGGAAAACCACAGATGCTTAATTTAAAATTCACTGGCACATCCAATCAGTTTTGTGCGACAGGCATTAATTGGCTTAAATTGCAGAGTGCACTGTGCATTTCATTATAGCGTTTATTTAGACCAATATTTGATATAGGGTCGTGCCTCAGCTGGCACGGTATAAATTGGGTTGCTGTGCAAGAAAGGTTGAGAACCGCTGGTCTATGGCAAGGTTGGGGAACCTGATCCATGGAGAGTTTACAGGGATTTAGGATGACCTCTTAATCAGTCAGTTACAGGGGGTCCCCAGGACTGAGTTGAGAACCACTTTTTTATTATTAGCTGATTGAGAATCCATCCCAAAAACCCGGCAACACATGGAGAATATGCAGACTCACACACGCACACACACACACACACACACACACAGGAGGGCTACATACTGAGCCAATGTGTTACCCAGTCTAGCCTGGTGGTCACAAACAGGTTTATTATAGAGTGTGTGTGTGTGTATGTATGTGTATATATATATATATATATATATATATACATACACAGTATACACTAGGTGACTTCAGAAATAGGGTAGGTCCTGCTGGTCCTTAAGAGTAGAGATGCTTCTTGTTACACTGAAACAGTTTAATTTTTGCATATAAAATGGCTCAGGTAATCAGGCATACTTGTTTGCTATGGCAAAATATAGTATGAAAAGTGAGCAGTGTGTCTGAATCCTCAGTAAGAATGAGACAGTAGTGTGCAACCTATGAATGCTACGCTAACCCACAAGGCCAGAACTGCAGCCAGAGAAGAGCATCACTTGCTGAGAAATTTTTGTCAAGACGCCAGAGGAAGTGCCATCTCTGTGCAAATTTAAGTAGAAGACAATGTCTGGTTACATTAAAAACTATCAATGAAAAAAATAATTAAGTTTTTACAAGCTACATCTTTGGAACATATCTGGGTCAGGTAATATGTAAGACGGTGACCTCAGTATGTCTGAATGCATGCACATTGTTCTCATGCATACATACAGTATGTACTACATTAAGTAGTAGGTTTCTAACAAAATTCAGTACCTAGTGTGTAAGAATGCGATTTCAGACACACCCTGAGAAAACCCACAGGGACTATGGCCTGGAACACATTAATATAAGAATTCAGATGCAGAATTCAGATCATCCTCCTCTATCGTTAATCTACTTCTGCATTATTAGACAAGGTTTCTGATTATACTCTATCACATAAGCACAAAGAACGGTTTCCTGTAGGCAAATATGAGAAAAATCTAATAATGCCATGCTATCAATCAGCCAGTCGGTTCCCTATGCCAGTGTTTCCGAACCCAGTCCTTGGGGATCCCCAGATGTTTTTCTCCCTCCCAGCTCCCTGCTAGACAGTCCAAACAGGACTGGGTTCGCAAACACTGTCCTATTCCACACAATGGAATAAACCATTTGTTTTTTCCTCCACTATTGAGTCAGATACATACAGACAATGCTCTCAGCAGGACTCTGGTGCTCTTCTGAAGAAACTGAGCACTGTCACCAAGGACATGCCACTATGGGGTGCGGGCAGAGTGACTTACTGTGAAACCTATGCCAACCGTTGCAGAAAAGGATCCAGGGATGAACTTGCCCTGGTCAAACTGCACTAGGAGTGACGTCTTTCCCACCCCGCTGTCTCCCACCAGGATCGTCTGTAGTCAAGGAGAGAGATTCATCCAATGAATACGCAGTTTATCCATGCAGGAGGTACGTGTGGCTGCAAGTACAATGTGAGAACAAATGGATTATTTCCCAAGTGATGCCCAAAAAAGATTTACATCGAGGGTGTAGATTTGGGTATGGATTGTAGGGACATGTGCCTACCAAAAAGGGGGGAGGGCCATTTGTGTTTATGGGGGTGGGGGGTTTGGGCTTGACTTAGCCCCTACCAATGCTGAAACCAAACCAACACCCTTGGCTTGCAATGCCTAACATCAGCATGATCAATATGTCAATCAACATTTCACATTCTTGGTCTAGCTATACAGAATATTTTTTTTTACAACTTTGCACTATTCTGGTATTAATCTTCCTGTGAATGAAAATATAGCATCTGTGTGTCGCGTGTAATAATTCAGAGTTTTTGAAAGACTTCTTTTAAGCATGACACTTAAAATGAGCTTGACTGTGAGATTCTATTGCAAGACAGCAGACATGTTGCATCCCTTAGGTAGACTTCACTTAAAAGATTCTAACACTTTGACCATGATGTTGAACCAGGGACTTGTACCACAAAGCAGGATTTCTTGCTTAACCAGATTACTTGTCGGATTTAACCACAGTTTAAATGGACATTATCTTTATTTACTTACATTTAGCCCAGACTACCTTAAATCCAACAAAATATCCGGCAAAGCAAGAAATCCGGCTTTGTGATACAGGCCTCTAACATAATACTCTGTCATTCATGATTATTTTACAGGAATTAGGGATTGTTGAAAAATGGCTCTGTTACTTTTTCTTGCAAGAACTCACCACGTTACTGACACTGGAACAGGCAAGACATGAAATCAGTGAGGGGGAAGAGCGCATACTGTTGTTGCTGTGGCAACGCAGCTATTTGTGCAGCAGAAGTCCCACCCTCTTCCTAGTAGATTCAATTAAGTGGAGTCGCCAGTTTTATTTATTTATTTATTTATTTGGAATTTCACATTTAGTGTTCCTACTAAACACCAGCGTGTGTTAGCCGGCTCTTTAAAGAGCGGAAGTTGACTGTCTCCCTGATGAGTCACTCCACAGTAAGAAGTAAGACTCTGCGAATAGCGACACATCCGGCCCATACGTTCCATTCACAACTGAATGATTATTACTATTCTCTCACTGCTACAAAAGAGAACAAAGAATGAATTATCGGGGTGTGATAGTGTGAGTAGCTTGGATAAAATGGGACGCAATTTTCTGAAGCCCATATTTTTTTATCAGCACTGATAGGAGAATTAAAATCACATTCAACTATTTTTTTTCACAAGGATTTACAGATATGCATGCAGGTAAAGGGAGGCAAGGTTTGACAAAGTACCAGGTTTGAGGTGTTTAATTACGCATTACTTATAGAAAGCGTAAGGGGCCTGACAGAAATATGAAAAGGTGATGAGAAGTATCAGTGTTAAAATAAAATGTGTAGATGTTCTGAATTCCATATTTCTCAAACTAATTTGCACATGCCTTTTAATAAAATCCACCTAACCAGTCCTCCACCCATTCTTCTTTCTCAGTGACTGCCTACCCAGTTTGACCCACAGCGATCTGGAGCCAGTCCCAGGAAACAGAGGGCGTAAGGCAGAATGCAGCCTGGCACACATACAGATTTATCCGAGCCCCTCCGCAGCTCTGTCCGGTACGAGTGTTCAGACAAAGGGTGGGTACATCTAACCGCGATTATGAAATATTATACACTAGATATCCACAATAGTTATGTCTGAGATGTGTGAACTTCATTTATCACCTTCTGTTCTGTAAACTTCCAATCCAATACAAATGCATTAACAGGCTTCAGTGAGTTGCAAAACTACTGCAATTCTTGCACATTACACAGTTAACAAAAACACCCTATTAAAAATGTTAATTCTGAACTCCTCTAAAGTGACATATTTCTTTATTCCAGAGCAAACAGACCAGAGAGAAAACTGACATATTTCATAATTTTCCCTGATGCCAGAACTCATAATATAGTTTAAGCTAAAGTACCATTTGCTTTAATAAGCCCTCAGTGTGCTGGAAGATCCAGTGTTTACTGGATTTAATAAAGGTCAGTTTGAGCTTTATAACCTTTTTCCTTTACACTGCATCGTCTTTTTTTTGCACAGATTATGAACACTGGCACAGAGCAGATTGTGTGGGCCAATGACGTCAGAACTATTGCGGCCGGCCAGGGACTTTATGAGTGTGTCACTGCTGCACTGCCTGGGGAGGGGACGATGACATCAGCACGACTCAGTCAGGATGCATACGATCCACAGAGCTCGCAGTC